GTATTTCACTTTTGCAGTATATTGACTTTGCTTAGTAACAGTGTCAATTCAAAAACATACTTAATGTTTTTTATTTGTAATACATTGATTCTTTCCGTAGTTACATAAGCATTTTATCTCTCATATATGAAAGTAGTTGAAAAATAATTCTTATGACAACTAAATTGTATTCAAATTTGCATAAAATAAAAAAAAATTTGTTACGTCAATGGACATTTAAAAGGGCATTTTCCATCCTAGACTAACAAAATAGATGAGGAAACAATCAGAGCATTGGACAACTGCTTCTTCCTTGCTTAGAATTTTTTTTAGCTGTGAGCAACAACAATCCAATTAGTGATTGAAGTCAAAACCAAAAGATCTCGTGATCAACACGATAGCTAACTAATATTAAATTAAGCATCATATATAAATCCTTAATCTTACATGCATATTTTATATAATGATAAATTTTATTACATAACTTGAAGTAAAAAAAATATAGATTTTCTACTTTCGAAGTTTAGAAATCAATTGTTCTTAATTAAAGGACATATCTTTCAATAACTCTATAGTGAGTTTGAATTCTATTCTGTTCACTTTGTTTCGGATGACCGGTTAGGATCACAAAACCTCACATAATAGGTATTCCTCAAAGATGAATACGTGAATATTGATTTGATCCTTGAGTAATGTTAAAGTGATTGTGATTTTAAGTGAAAAAATTGATTATTTGTAACAACCATTTTAAGTCAACTATGTTCATAACTCTCTAATGTTACAATATTCATAGAGAAAAGTGAATATATTTAATTAAACAAATGAACAAACATTTTGATGGCTTTATTAGAACAAACTTTGGTGTTCTGAAATAGATTTCATCAAAGGAAATTTTATCACTTTTATTTCAGTTCAAGAAAATTAATTTTCAAATATTCCAAATTCATTTTATGTAGTGCGTGTTGACTTCATGAATAAATTTCTGTCAAGAAACATTTACATTTTCCTGCAAAGAATCTATGATAATTATGTAATATAATCGATCATAATTAAGAATGAACAAACGTACGTAGATATAAGTTGCTATATTTGGCATTTATATGAGACGAAACAAATTGGCTAAATAAGAAGTTAAAAAGTCTAAATGTTAACTAAAACTCAACACTTGGTGTGTGATGTATGGTACTAATGTCCACAAATATAAGTAATATGTATCACCAATCGAAAGTGAAATACTTGGCAGCAGAAGGTTGAGAAAATCGAGAAGAGAACGAAGACATAGAGTGATCGGTGTGAAAACAAAGGAACAGTCAAGTCTGCGACAGTTGATGGACATTTTTGTTATGCCTCGATAAGAATAATGAGTCGTAATTTTTGGGATTCATTTGTGGACCAATACTATTCTTATCGATTTAATGTTTAAATATTTCTATGACAGTCGATTGACTAACTGATCGATTAAATGTTTATAAATACTTCCATGGCAATATCGATTATACACATATAATTGATATATATATATATATATATATATATATATATATATATATATATATATATGCATTTTGAATTGTGTTGTGTGATCGCTCGTTTCTGGCTGTTTTCAGGATATGCTTTCCATTCAAAGCTTGGACTTCTCCCTCTAGTTAGCGGGGCTGGGACGCATCAAATAGCTAGCTTACTGATCTTTGGTCACTGAGTCTTTGCTCTCGTTCGCAGATTGAGTGAACTCTTGAGAGCTCCAAACCTAGCAGTTTTGCAGATGAAGTATTTACTATATGGTTCTCAGATTTTACGAGGATATTCGATAATGCTATACTTAAACACACTTACTTACCCCCACTGGTGTTATCATTCATTATAGTAGTATATTTGAAAAAGGCGAGTGAAATTAATGGATCGAATGTGTAGACTGTTATAAATCTTAAGATTCAGAGAAAGATAAGCACAGTATCGATCAGTATCATTGTGACGACTTTTTTATGTTTGTTATTTTCAGGTAAAAATTATTATAAACTGGTCACATTAGTTAGAAAATTAATGTGTTATAAATTGTTTTGTTTGTTCATTAATTGAATAATAGACATGAATAGAAATTTGTTATATAAGAAATCGATCTATCACTATTCAGGTGATCATGTAGGAAATAGTTCAAACCACGTGAATTTTTATGAATATCATATACATCAACTGATTAAAAGTACTTTTTCTAAGGTTATACGTCTACTACTTGAAGGTTTATTATCCAAAAGTTGGCATTTAACTTTATTTCAATTAATTTCTCTATAAAATATGCAGATTTATTATGGAAATAGTCATTTGAAATATTTTGTTATTCATTTATTTAAACACATAAACACTGGTACAAGGAGGCACCAAACAGATATACACCACATAAATCATTCAATTTGTGTGACGGCTGGAATTCTGCTCAGGTGCTCAAAACGAACCAGGTGGTTCCCTTAGGGGACTATACCCGGAGCCTTTGACCTAAAGGTCTGATCGGAAAGGTAGTGAGGCAACGTCAGGAGATGCAGTCCCATGGTAGCCGGTGACCAACGATTGGTTCATACGCCATTTGTTCCTTCAGGATACTGGAGCCCATGTGCACCACTGGTTTTGAATCAGGGTTTTCCAACTCCCTTAGGTGGACTCTCCATGTCCACCAACCCGGTTAAAGCGTCGGACATTCGCTTCTTGTCCTCTCAATTTCGTAAACAACAATAGTGCCACGAGAAGGCAGTGAGTAGGACTTCCTTGTCAGTGGTTGTATGTACGTGGCCATGTGAGAGCATTTTGAAAGGGAGAGTTAACTCTACCCACTCTCGGCCGTACAAGGGCATTTGGGAGCACTGTAGCTTTGATAAAGTAAAATCGTATAATTAGAATATCAAGTATAATTACAGAATGAGGATTTATAGTATTTGTTGACTCATAATGAAGTTGTACAGTTTAATGTTGTTAATGTTATGAGCCATTTAGATTTCACGTATATAAATAATTTCAAAATACGTTTATTCTCTTGATCATTTTGATAAGTTCAAACGGCTAGACATCTTTGAAGCTAAACTTAGAGATAAGATTCCCGTTTTAATGAACGAATGAAGTTTATCACAAACAAGTTGAAATAATCAAAGCAATATGTGTCTTGACTTCATTCATTATTCATTATTCTCAAGTCGATAGTTAGTAACATACTCATAAGTTATTGATCGGAAATATCTGTATGAGATTTCTTAGACTGATCATTGTTTCTCCATATCTTAATTCAATGGTATTTAATATTATACTGATAAATCTGTAGATCACTAACGTAGATGATCTATATCGAATGACTGGGGGACTACTCGAGTCAGACAGGAATGGTGTAACCAAAAGCTAACTTCGTAGTCACACCTCACGGTCAACACCTAACATGGATTACCCCTTTGACGTATCAAGGTACTATGGCTGCTTTGAAGAGCGTATAACAGAAAGGACATTATTATAGAAATATATTAGTTAGAGTAGGTACAAGTGATAGTGCGACCACCAACGCATATGCCAGTCCATAACGTGCGATTAACTGATGCACATTGGCTATCCTTGACGTTGATGGTGATCGATGTTCTGTGCAATATTCAGTGGCCCAACCGCTGGAGGTTTTGTCTAACATTAAATGACATTATACTGACCCTACAAATCTAACAGTTCGTTCTTTTTCTTCATACATCACATCTCTTTCTGAATTTTCTTTATCCCAAAAGTATTTTCAATTTTCAAATAATTAGTTTAAGATTAAATCACTTGGTTACTAAGCCTTTTTGTATATATATATATAATAAACAAACACATTACATTTAACATTTTCGAAAATCATAACACCAAAACAAAATACAGTGTTGATATGAATTACGTAATTGTGCATTTAATCAAATAAGAAATAAATGAACAACGAACAGTCGTTATGTTACTAACTTTTGATCAAAAAATCTCACATTTCATCCTAAATGGATGCCTCGATCAACTTCATTACATCACTCTCATTTATATTTCCTTTTACTATTTATCATTTTAGGATGTGTAAATATTAAAAAAAAACTTGAATAGTCTTGAACCTGTTCACTAATGAAAAATAGCTTAATACACTTTGTGATGTTAACTTACTACAAGCACCACAGGGAATGAAATAAGACTATCAAGATTTTGTTCTCTATTGTTTTTATGCATATCAACAGGAAATCATTTCAATATATTACTTTTAGACAGCTTGATAGATGATGATGATGATGATGATGATGATGATGATGATGATGATGATGATGATGATGATGATGACGATGACGATGATAATAATAATACATAGTCAATACATACTATAGACAAAACATTTTTGAAAAGAATTTTAATGATTCCTTAAAAAATAACTAACTTATAAAATATGGAATATTATTGATTATTAACGAAGGGAGAATGAGTAAATTGACATTAACAAGTGTAATGCTATGTAATTTGGTTTACTGATTGTCTGAAAATCAAAGTAGTATTGAGATAAAACGTATTTTGATGATTGTTTTTAATGTATGTTCTCCTCTTTTTCTTCCTGTAACGAATTCGTCAGGTGAAAATCTGTTTTTTTTTGTATTGAAATATAATTTTTATACGGAATCGTTTCAGTAGTCGAGATAAGATTTGAACACGTGACCAAACTGTTGAAAACTAAGTACTGTATTGTAGTTATTATTCATTTATATTCCACGGAATGATGTGAACTTGATAATAACAAATTGTAGAATGTATGACGTAATAATCAGTGAAATGACTGTACAAAATTTCAAAATAAAGCTATGAGAAAAGAAGTATTTCTTTACTGAAATATTTAGTTTATTTCTTAAATGTGAATTATGAAATCCCATAGTTTACATTCCAAACTATTTGTATGTATTGCTGTATTATTTACAGTTATTTACATGTATTACATCAATCTATATTTCATATTTAAGCAAGTGCTTTTTTATTTACTTCAATAATTTTATTGATAGAATTGATACAGTTATGACTGAATTAGGCTGGAAACGTACATTTGATCGACATGGAGATTATACACTACGTTGGACAGAGAACAGTATTCAAATTAATTATGGGATATTTAAAGAAGGTGAACAACTTGTGAGTTTTTGTGAGTACATTAAAATGTGAATAAACATTTTACTTAACGTAATATATATAAATATATATAATTATAGAAGCACGTATGTTATTAAACTAACTATATTTTGTGAAATTGGTTCCCATGAAGACAGTATTCACCTTCTTTAGTTAGAAATACATTTGTCTATTTATATCGGAGATTTATTTGATCTAAAGGGTATGAGCTGTTATCATGAACCAGCTTTCATAATGATCATTAAGACCTGTTAGTACTCATATTTTCACAGCATAGAATGAATTCAATCATTAAATTAACTAAAATAATATTTAAACTTTGACACTGAGATAATGTTACCAAAAGTTTAGTATTCTGAAAGGGTTATCTCCTTCCTTTCATTTACCAAGGTGACTGAATTGTCATGCAATCTGTCGACATTTCTATCGTGATTAATATGGTCAAATCCTGTCTATCACTCGCTATGAAATATGGAGTACGGCTAAGATATTCATGGACACATCGACAATACCGAAATGGTTATACTTTATGAGTACATAGGTTTCTCTATGAAAAGATTGTCATGTAATATATTTGAAATATCTTTGGAGTTAAACAAATTTTTCAAGGAAAAGTCAAATCATTTTTTATGATCATTTCTATCTGTAAAATCATCAACTTGAGTCAATTGCATGTTCAGTATTCAATATATTTTGATATTAATAATATTTACGTTTAACTTGGTGAAGATGAAATAATTTTGAAAAAAACCCACTCTTGTCATTTTATTAAGGTGAACCATATACCAAATTGTGGATTGCTTACAAATAAACTTGGATTATTAATAAGTCTTCGTGATTATGAAAGACGATATCAAAATAGATTTGGACGATTACCTATTATGGTGATGGATGATTTCTTTCCAAAAACATTTATTGTTGATGATCTAAAGGAACGAGAAGCTTATTTTAAATTACAAGAAAGTAAGAAAACAGTTATATTTATGTATATGACTGCTTAATATTTTATAAAATTTGTGTAATGAAGTTGGATGGTGCATATAAGTCTATGAAGTAAGCTTCTTAATATAACTATGAAAAATGCTTTTGGTGACCCGATCAAATGATTTATAAAACTATCTAAACTTAGTACACATCTATCATTAAAATTTACCTGATTCAAGTTCTAAAACGAGCTATTTGATTTAGAGATAATTGGTTCAGATTCACTTGCTAAACATGTTTGGCTAATAGAGTAGTTTGATGTCTACCAAATATAGAAGTGACCACCGATATAAAATGCTTTATAAATTTTTATCGGTGAATGTCTTTTGACTAACGTTCATCCTTAAGAGTAATTAATTGGTTCTTGATGGAACATGCTTAGCTTGTTATGTAAAATGCTCGATGACGGCAGTAGTTAGTAGCAAATTAAGAATAATAAAGTAGGTTTTAAGAATCATGTGCAATAGTTGAGGCTGGGTATGAACCCATGAAGATTAATTATCAAGTTCAACGTTAATCACGTCTCAACATTATAATAGGTTTCCTAATTTTTGATCTTTTAATTCATTTCAAAATCTTTGAAAAATCAACTTTAAACTGGTCATACTCATATCCATCATACATATCATCTTGAATTGTGCATCTTTTCATATATCACACTTTCACTCTGATCAATCGGAACATGCATAGTTTATTATTGAATTTTCGACAACACATAAACATCTGTTCATGTCTGTTTAGAGACTAATAAATTTACATTGTTGATGTCCATAGCATATAAAAGTGTAATCTGTGTTTGTTTACTAGTTAGCATGTTATATAAACAGTAGTTTGAATTACCTTCAAAAGCTTTAGATGAAACTTAACTTTATTATAAATTCTATTACTTACTGACATCGCCTTTTATTCATTTTTTTACTCATAATTAGTTGGCTATTAATTATTGAGAATATCTTTCCTATAAATGTTAACTTACAATTAGTATAATACATAGGTTCTGGGTCCGAGTTTTGCCTGAGGAATCATGGATGCGCATTGTTGAGGAGTCCCATACTAGAACGAAACTGCCATCCAGTGCTTCCAGGTTTTCCATGGTGGTTTAGCTTAAGCCGATTCATCAGTTTAACAAATTAATTACCACAATCTCCACAAACCCTCATTCTAATATAATTTATCACTATATTGCTACTTATAGATTTTAATAAGGATCTTATAATAGCAATTGTTGAAGAAAAAATTAAGCATTATCTTTGTCAATTTGGATTTAATGATACAAATAATTAGAAGTAAAGTTTCATATTTCTACTACTTAACAACAAAACATGTTAGAGACTTTCAGAAAACCTACTTTTCCTTTTCAATACAACTAATCAATAACAATGAAATAGGAAAGTTTGAACATTGCGTCATCAATCGTTTTGAACTAAGTATTGTTTTTTATTTACAAAATTCATAAGAAAAAAGAAACTATTGAGGAAATCATCTACATCTTATTTTACTACTAAATTTAGATACAGTAATTTTAACAGAAATCTATAGTGAATTGTCCAGAAATATGATTTCAGTTAAGAACACTTTAAGATCATCTATACAGCTACAAATTAATTTGCATTTTGTGTGGTGTGGGTTACATATATCTATATAAGTAGTATGTAACGGTGATCAGGCATAGAATGTATTTCAGTAGATGATCGAGAAGGAAAGAACGGAAACGGAACGCAATTGGCATGAAATACATGAACAATGAAATCTGAGATAATGGACTGATCTTTGCAAAGGAATAGTTAAATTTGAGACGATGGATTGATATTTGGCAAATTAACTATTTATTATATGGTTCTCAGATTTTATAGAGATGCTCTGTAATTTCGTATCAACTACATTCGATTCTTCTCACTCGTTTTCTTGTTCACTACATTAGCATTTAATTTAATTGAAAATGTAATAAAACGCCAAGAAAAACTGAAGATCAATCCTTGAAGGACTTCAGTTCTTTTTTTGTAAAGTCATATGAATGAATCGTTAAAACATCTTAAACAGATGTTAAACTCTCCTAATTCTCATCTGTTCTTCAACTAATTTGAGATTATCATAAATATTACATTTAATTATAATAAAGAATTGTTTTCATTTTTAAATGTTATTTTCTTTAAAGATGATGAAGCACCACATATGTGGATATGTAAACCAATTGGTCAAAATCAAGGCAAAGGTATTTTTTTAGTAAGAGATATTGAAGAGTTTAAGGTACATTTAAAAAATCGAGATGATGAAGCACGTAATCAACCATCCGGACTTTTACCAAGAATAATTCAAAGGTAATTTTTATTTTATCTTTATTGTCTGATTATTGAATTCGATTATCTTTGGTTTCAATTAAACAAATAACAATGTGAAGTAGTGAGGTTTGTTTTTTTTCTTCTTTAAAGAAGATACAGATGTTGGAATAAATCATAATTTAATTTATTTAATCATAGAATAGATCTACTGATTTATGACTACTTGTATACTTTTTCTTTAAAGAATCAATTCCTGCTTAATTTAATAAGAGTTGTAAATGTTGGAAAAAATAGTTTATTGGACTGTTGTGCATTAGAAATCTATGTGAATTATTTACTTGGGCAAGTGATTACATCATACAATTAGAATAATATATTAAGATTAACATTTAGATAAAGATATCGAGTTAATTACTTAAATTACTAAGAAGTACATGATGAGTTACTAAAATAATAATTACCTGATAGTTTACACTTAAACTATTTCAAAATTATATGGTATAAACTACTCACAAGCACTTGTGACATTCAAAAAATAAGCCTAAGAGTACTGTGCTAATTATATACAATAATATAAGATAATTATATATAATATATTTCTGTAATTCACAGTGTTGGACGTGGAACGTATTTTATTTCTTATTAGCTAACAATTAAATCAAAAGAATAAAGGTACACTTATATTGAAACGATATAATTTAAAGTCTGTAAGGAGATAATGGAAAATATCTTAACTATTGTTTACTAATGATAGTTATTGTAATTAATTTAGTCTCACAAGTGTTTTGTTTTAATTGAAATAACACCAATAGCCGAAAAACCTGGTAAAATGAGTTCAGATAAAACGAAAAGTATGTATATGTTTAGATTTGAAGAAATACCTTTATAAAATTGAATATAATATATACAGATATGTTTGTTTGCTTAGTATTTTTCATTGACATGAATACGTAACTATCATCAGGACTTGCATGATGGACGCTACTCACGAGATTGCTAGTAAGTAGTATGTGATGGAACAGGGCCTAGTAGCTATCACAGTCGTCAGACGGATTAAAGAGTTCCAGTATGTCAGAAGCGTAGTGAAGGCAGAACACTTGAAGATCAGAAGAGAAGACAGTTTGCATGATAGAACACAATACCGTATGCAAATTTATGATCGAAGGCTACTTATCCGTACTCTATAAACTGTAATTTTTCGCAGTAAGCACTGATCCTTCTACTCGTTGCATTTTTCTACACAAATCTACATCAGATTTCATCCAGAAGTAAATCAACAATCATCTGGTGTCACTTTCACTTGGATCTATGATTTTACATGTACATGAGGTGGTAAATACATATGAAAGACAAAAGGAACGGTTCTTCTAGGTTTTCTGAGCATATCTCTGGGAACCTATGTCAAGAAGGGAGTAAAATCTTTGCAACTATGGTTGGCAGGAATCTATCGGTTAATGGAAATGAAGAAGACATTAGTAATGCCATTGGAACAGTTAACAAACAAACGATATCAATTTGTTCCGTCTTGTTGAAGGAACTGGTATCAGATGTTTCTGACTTGACGTATGTATACAGAAGAAAAAATATAATTAGTCATTTTTGTCATGGCAACCGGGTGCTAATCAAATAATCATTATTAATTATTAAAACCCCTCCCTTTATTCGTTGCTTAATATTTGTTTTTTATTTAGTCATACTGGTGTTCGCACATTTATTTAATTTCGTTCCTTGTCATGTTCAACGGTTGTGCAATTAATTATTGATTTCATTACTCTTACACAACCCTCTTTATCTTCATAATGGTTACTGATAATTATAACACCTGTTCTACTCTGCATAACTGATTCCATCATACAAATACATATCTATCTTAACTGTGTTTATTCATATACTTTGCATCCTATTCCTATTATTATTATTATTATTATTATTATTATTATTATTATTATTATTATTATTATTTCGGTTGCGTTTCAAACATTCATCTAAACTTTACAAACAACAGTATGTTAAACATTTGTTAATAGGTATATTAATAATTGTTATTTTAGGCTGTATGCAGCTGACGAGAAGCCATGGACTAGAATGAATTCACGTTATTTTAAAAACCTTGTGGTTCCTTCTGTCTTGATATGATAATTATAGAAAACAGATTGTCCAAATACTATTATGGTTTGTGCTACTTATATTGACATAAGTAGTATATGATGTTAGTCGTGAACAGAAGGTCTGACAGCAGAGAGACAAGAGGATCGAACAGTAAACAATGGAAACAGAATGCGATTTGTATGAAAATGCAAGAACAATGAAGTCTGAGTCATTTTGAGACAATCGATGAACATTTTGTAAATTAAGCATTTACTTTATGATTGTTAGATTTTATTAACAAGTCCTGTAATTTTGTGTTAAATGCATTCGATTGTCCACGGCCGTGTTCTGTTCACTACGCTATGAATATTAATTAAGTGATTGCAAGTGTGAGGTAATAATTATCGGCTATTTTGCGTGAGCTGTATGCTTCATCGTACAAATAATAATAAGAATACAAAGGCCACCTCAGTGCTAAATTTGCTTCAGTTACATAACAAGACCTGTTGTAATCAGGAACATTGTGTTATTTATGTAAACTAAAGTATTCTAGATATTTGTTGCCTGAATCAGTACTGCTCTAGGACTATTTGTATTTCATTTTCTACAGAAGTTGTGTTCAGGACATGTTTTATCCACTTCAAGGTCTCTAGAGATTGTCTGACTTTGATGATTGGTGAACTCAATAATAATCTAATATTTAATTAGTAGTATGACAATGCCACATGCTATTTTTGTAACGGCTGAGAATTATAATATGAAGATGATTTTTACTCAGCTTAAATGGTTTTCAATTTTTATTCAAATATTCTATTGATTGTTAAGTGATTGTCATTCTTTGCTTGACAATATTAACAACAGAATAGGGCACAAAAAGATTTATGTATTACTGAAAAATCTCAGCCATGCTTAAATCTATACGTATTGATACACTTAATGCTTGTTTACGGGCTACATAATTACTGTTTTCTGGAAAGTGACAATACATAATATTATACTAAGTTAACTAACTTTTGAAACAGTGTAATGCTATAGTAACAAAAGAATTCGATATTGAGGAAGATACTACTTATTTGTTTATACGTTTATTTTAAAATATATTTCAGATACATTATCAATCCATTATTACTTGATGGTTGTAAATTTGATATACGATGTTATGTTCTTATAGCCTGTACAATGCCTTATTTAGTATTTTATCATCCTGGTTATATTCGACGTTCGGCTAAACCGTATTCAAATCAAGATCAAAATCTTATAACACACTTGACTAATCAGGTAAGTTGACAAGAAGTAAATGATTTTTTTTATTGATAAATATTGATTCTAATATATTCAAAATTAAAATCTAACCAAACCTGTCACTGTTGTAATCCAGACATAATGCATTAAATTATTGTTCCCAATGAAGTAAAACAATTATTCTGGATAGTGATATACTTCAATCTGTTGTATAAATGAGAAATTCAGAAGGAAACATCGGACTATACTAAATAATGTACGATCTAATTGTTTAGTTTAGAACTATTTTTCTCATTAAGTAAAAACTGCTGATGGACTTACGAAAGCTCACAATCACTGTAAAGCACTTACTTCTTCGTTAAAAACTTTTTAGTTGTCTAAATTAGAGTATTCAGAAATCACGAATAGCTTAAAATTGTTAATTATGTGGACTGAAACTTAATAATCAGAAGTTGTTTGTGGAAATTTTTAGAAATTTCGCAGATTGAAATCATGAGTCAATTGAAGCTAGACCACCATGGAAAACCTGGAAGCACTGGACGGCCGTTTATAATCCGAATTCATGACTTCATTCAATTTATGAGACAGTACGATAATCATCTAACACTATCAGGTTCAATACTCTACTTACGTTATGATAAACTCCACAAAACAATAGTTTTTACTAGAAATTTAGTATTAAGGGCTCAATTGTGTCCATTGATAAAAGTTCAACATAAGTATTAAATAACTGTTTAGTAAATTCTGGTAATCAAAATACTCACTGGCTGATATGAATCTGTATTGGAAAGTAATATCTTTATTTTGTCTGTTAGTAGCTAACAGCATGTCATTTCTATGATACTACTATCTTCTAAAGAAAATAGATACTAAGTTATGTGTTTGATAAAATAACTTTAATGAATAGAATAATAATATGATATTTCATTAACTGTTTTTTTACTTAATTTACCAGTTTGTTCAAAAGAAGGATCCAGCGTATGCAGAAATAAAAAATAACACAGTTTGGAGCTGGTCACAAGTTAATGACTATATCAATAAACATTATCAAGAAGAAAAGAAATTACCAGTTGATTGGACTAAAACAGTTCTTCAGGTAGTTTTCTCATCATTATTCACATACTTTATTCAATAAGAGTAATGCATCCCACATTCATAGAAGAAATAAATTAAATTCTAAAATCTACTTATTGTCTATAATAATGAGTCCCGATCGTAGCTACTACCTTGACATGGTCGTCAGGCTTGCCTATCATGATGACCCAATCGAGCTATATTGGTTAGAACAAATGTTCCTGTAGGTTCTACCATGCCAGGCAGGTCAATTGGAGAAAGGTAAGACTAAAAGCAGCAACTCAAGGTCTGAGGGCGAAGTCGTACCACTGACTGTAGAGGGACGTGACAGCAGTAAGATATTTCCCCTAGACAACCAGTATCTGTAGCGATGCTGCCCTCTCACAAAGAAGGAAGGGGTTAGGAAAGGTCAATCCTGAAAATGTCACACCTCACCTTACCTCACGGATTTACGTCTCCGGCGGCAAGGCCCTTTGAAGAACGGAGCTAACACGTCAAAAACCTCCCACAAAAAGGCCGTGCGCGACCGGCCTCAAGCAGTTGTCCCGTGGGCTTTGCGGTCACGTCCCCAGGTCTTTAAGGCCGACATTAGTCCGAATTCCTTTTCAGGTTCTTCAAGAAATACCCTTGCACGATGTGAGCATCTGGGAAGTGACATTAGCAATCATACTCGTTACAGCATGCGAGACTAAATTGGTCACATTCAAATCCTTCCTACACTTCCTAATAACTTTCTTATCTCCACGACTAACCCTTCTCACGTTCCTTCATCACCTCTCGCCGCCAATGCAAACCATTCTAGTACTGGAAAAGTTATTCCCGCTCTCCTGATACCACGCTCCTGACTGACCGTAATAATGAGTGAAATATTTGAAACTACAGTTTGAGTTTACGAAATAATAAAGAATGGCTAAGGATTGTGATTCTTTGGATTAATTTTCCTGTTGAATGATAATATTAATTCAAATACACAAAGGATATATTTTACAGTAATAGCATGAACTCAGAATCAATTAGTTACATGCTAACTACAAACCCTCTCGACCACTGAATCATAGAATAGCAGAGTTCCTTAACTCAAACTGTAGTTGAAGCCAGATCTGTTGATTTATTCAACAGAAATTTGTATCTAATTAAAGACTATTATCATAAGATTTAATACAGGCCCTCTAGCCTCCTGTTTTTCTCAAATGCAACGTGAAACTTACCCTTAATATTTGAAAACAAAACAAAATTTGTTTTAATTATGTCAATAAATCACTTAAAAAAAGATAACCAGTTTCTCTTTTGATTTATATTATTTTATTATTATTAATCTAGTGGAAGATTCAGAGAATTATTCATCATGTATTTACTACAGTTAAAAATAGATTAGCTGCAAAAATAGGATTTTTTGAATTACTTGGATTGGACTTCATGTTGGATGAAAATATGAAAGTAAGTTGTGAATACTGTTAGAATGTAGTAGAAAAATTTCAGATTCATAGGTTAAACTCTTGTTTCTACTTTGTAAGTCATTTTTATCACAGACTAACAACATTTGTTTTGTCCGGTTGTTTGTATTTATTATTAAATTTATAGGCCTTAGATGGTTTATGAACAGAAGCGATGAGTCTATCTAAATTCAAAAGTTGTTTATATTCAGGATAATGTCAAACGAAGAGAACCAGAGTAATTAGCAATCTATATATCATAAAGACATGAGTGATAACTAAAGAGTCTACTAGATAAAGCTGCGGATTCTGAAATGAAGAACATTGTTTTAGTCATCGAGAAATAAAAGATAAGATATAGATATATTTTGACTGATAAGTTTTCAGTATGACAAAACTGGCTCTTTGTAGTTGCGTTTGCTTCCCATGATTAAAATTTCAATAAGAATGTTACTGTTGTTTAGTTAAGAAAACTCTTTCCAGCTTACCAGTTGGAACCACCTGATGAATGGGGAAAGGAAACTAAAAGTTTCAAGATATAAATCTTTTATTCTCGCACAATTGCACTAATGGACATTATTTTGACGGTGATTGGTTAACGGTAGTCGGTAAGAAACCCTTTACTTGGGTTAAGTACCGGTTAGCACATGTTGGCAAGTTATGCCTGGAATATTGATGAAACTGATGAAGATCACTAGAATCAAAATCTCATCACCCACCTACACCACTGAGCTATCCACTCAACAATTGATGTCCGTGTTGTATTTGGAGATCCTGCTTTTCACTTTGAGTGTGTTTAGGCCTACTGCTGCAAAGGTAGTCGATCAATCAATATAAGTTATGGACCATTGTTTATTGAGTTGTGTAGATAATATTTGAGAAACAAGAATTAATTCAAAGCTTATTACAAGTGAATCTTTAGCAAATGCGCACTGAACTCATTTTATAATTTTTTTGTATTAGAAAACTGGATTGATTGATAAGCTTGTTTTTGATCTTATGTAAATTATGTGTGATTGCCTGAAAAAGTGACTTTAATCTCAACCGATACCGTTGCATATAGGAATGATTTTGAAAACTCACTTTATCATCACTAGTAATCATATACTGTTTCATGTTTAAACTGGATAAGAATAATTGGATATCACGAATATCTTTGTGTTTTCCAGCCAGATCTTGAAACTGACCGTAAAATATATTAAGTATGGTAATATTATATTAAATCCAGACAAAATTACTTTCTTGTTTGTAACTTACTAGTATATGTACATGTGAAATTAAGGCATTCTGTTTACTTGACATCTTAATTCGTTGTCAGACGTTCGTGAAATTCGAATAAATTACCCGTAATTACTTGATATATGTAATCGTTAATTTAAGTTCGAAGAATATAATTAACAATAAAGTGTAGGTCAAATGAGTAATCAAGTAAGATGGTCATTCAGCTTATTACTTATAGTAACACATTAAAGTGGCGAGTTTGTACCCATTTGAAGTTCGTACATCCCCGATGTTAAGATATCCCACATTGGGCCAAACCTGTTGGTTAGTACTTTTAGTGGCTCATGTTAATTGGTAATTAGAGTAACCTTTGGGATTAAGAAGGTTTATTAGATTTTCATGTTGTACCAACGATATCCTGTTATTAAATGGTATTCATGAGTAATATTTAATCATTAACAGGTGTGGCTACTTGAAGTTAATTCAAATCCAGCATTACAAACTCATTGCGATGTATTGAAAGAAGTTGTACCAGTTGTAGTGAAAGATGCTTTACGTAAGTTGCAGTATGAATGTCAGAAAAATTTAATTTTTAAAAAACATAGTATTCAATGTAATACTTTTATTCAGTATAAAAATAAATCATAGGACTTTAATGTGATAAGTTAAACATCATAAGACATGATAATAATAGCCGGTTTTACTGATACTGAAATATATGTCCTCTACCTAACATCATTTTTCATCACACTAGATGGCATAATTAACGGAATTCCGGAAATGTGAACTACTTGATTTTAATATGTTGGTTTAAATGTAGTATGTCTTTGTCAAGACTCCAAGATTTTTCATTTGATTCAGCTTTTAATCATGATCATCTGGTATTTAGAATACTCGACTTGCAATGAAATAGCAATCGACTGCTTTAAGTTTGCAACTGTACTTCAACTTGCATCATTTTCTAAACACTTTATTGTAATAAATATCTATCTGATTATGAACAGATACTGAAAACATTTTAAGTGGTTTGCTTTTACTTTCACACTGAGGGATCAATCCACAGTATATAAACCCTGATAAATGTATTTCATAGGATCAGAGGGATAGGTAAATGGATTACAGAATAAAATATAGTCTCAAATAAGCCATCTTTTTAGCGGATATATTATTGTGAATGTGGAGATAACATTGCACAGTATGTTTGTAAAATATAAAAACGAGGCACTAAATAATTCATTTGCAAACTTTTAACATTTGCCCTTCACATTTTGTATGATTCTCCCAGTCCACAATTCCTTTTATACTTTCCCTCCTATTTTCTTCAACTCGATCTTCTTGGCCTTTTGTTGCCCGGTTTTCTACTTCCGATTAGTAGTAGCATGCACCACCATATGACTAAATTATTAGTATGGTTGTTTTCTAACAAGAACAAATGAATAAACCTTTGAAAATACAACCAAATACATGCAGTCAAAGACATTTAATGATCTAAATAAATACTTGACAATTCATTTGATAATTCATTTGAAAGACATCCACTGCTTTTAGGATATTTTACATGTGTGTTATTTAATTAATTGTTGCAGCTTTTAAGCTTAGCACTTACGAGTGAACGGTTTTCTATTGCTGTCTTAATTACTAAATTTTTCAGTATGAGGTTGTGGAGATTATTAAATTTTTACTAAATTACTAAAGTTTTTCACACTGTTTCATCTGTGAAATGAATATAATCTTATCATTAGGTTATGAATGTGGTTGTTATTAAGCATAGAGAATTATTTATCTCTCTCAAATTTATCAGAAACGAGTTGTGAAGGTTGTCGAAATTCGTTAAAATCATGAACATAAGTTAAATCATCATATAAAACCTTAAAGTGAATGAAGATTTGATATAGAAAACCAATTTTGTGTTTAACGCAAAATTACTGAGTGCCTTCACAAAATATAAAAATTATACATTAAATACATTATTTGTACATTTTCCTTCAGTTGTCCTTTACATACATCATGAGTCTTTCAGTTCTATTGTTACAACAATATCTTTCTGTTTACACTCCTGTTCCTTTCAATTCTACTGCCTGGTATTCCACTTCTGATTGATGTTACATAGTACTTATAGCTGTCAACATAAGTAACGTACAATACACCTAGAAGCACCGGATAACCATACTAGAATGAAATGACCTTCCAGTGCTTCCAGCTTTTTCATGGTCGTCTAACTTAGATAAGTTCGTGATTTGAATGAATCACACAGATTTACCAAACTTTATCATAAGCAACGTTGATTTTAGGCGTTATTCATTTTACCAATCTTCATTATAATTATGGATTTAGAATCGTCAATAAATCTAACGTATTTATGTTCTCCGATTTAGATTGTCTTCCTGTAAATATTTCCGGACCAAATTATCAGAATTGTTCCTAGCTCATTCGAATTTGATGTATTCGACAATGATGTCAACTTTAATAACACTGGGTACTTCACAGTTAGTTTATATAGCATAACACCAACAAAAATATTAACTCGAAAATACACATTTTCATCACATAAATTCATTCTTTGGAGACATATGAGCAGCAAATAATTTTCGATACTGATGATCAAGTTGTCAGTCATTTGTTAAGAGTAAAATGACAACGACATAAAAAAACACAGATATGGATAATAATCTCGTCTTTATAAGTAGTAGGTACAGTTTAAACAATGACTGTTTTTACTGAATCAAATATCGAAAATTGATAGAATCGAAGTGTAAGCATGTGAATAAAACTAATAACGATTGTAATGAAAATACTAAAAAATTATGCATGTGGCTGAATAGCATTTATAGTCTGTTGCATAATGAATTATGTAATATCATTTATTGAATTAATCGAGAAACAACATGGTTGAATAGCCTTTGAATACCAAGGCAGATCAATAATTCATAAATAACATGAAAAGACAAAAAAACCATGAAGTGAACACGGAACATGAATATATAAATAGTAATGATGATCACGATCAAACTACAAATGAAAATCATATCTACACTTGGACTATGTGGCCTTAAGAATAATACAGAATTACAGTGACCTTGTGGTAGGTGAAGGCCACCAAAAGATACAATAAACTGGACAAAGGTTTTTTAAATATATGAAGTTGATTGCTGATAACTCTACTATATTTAGTAAGCTAAGATGCTTAAATGTTTCTGAAAACTATTTTTAGGGGTTTTACCCGACTTTATTTACAATCAAGTTTCTAATTGTGACTGGAACAATTCGGTGTAATACTAAAAAATGCATAACTATTGACCCAATATGAAGAAATATATTTTGCATTGTTTATTGTTTTGTAGATATTAGTATTGAATGTTTTGAAAAAAGTCGTCATCAGAAGTGTTTACTTCCACTACACGGTCTTGACAATTTATCTGCTTTCATATTTTGTCAACGAAGTAATAGACATATGAGAACAAGTTTAGATGAAGTGCCGATTGTGAATAAAATCAGTGGTGATTTAGGTGTACCAACTGGCTGGAATCTATTATACAATGAATCACAAGCTGCATTTCGTGCACGTTGGCCAATACTCCAATCATGTAGTCTTCGTTGTTGGATTCCACCTAGATATAAACCACCAATTATTCAGAATAATTCTAATTTACAACGGCCCGTTAATGATAACAATACTGAACAAAACAAGTTGAATAGTGTATCACTACAAACATGTGGATCAACAGGTGCAACCAACGAAAATTTAAATATATCAGCATTTCATACTACAGATGTAGTTAATTGTACTTTAAAAGAGCAAAATACTCCAAAAAATACTGTATCTAATCAATTTTTCCATCCACGTTTATCTTTACCAGAGTACCGTACTTTTGAATCCAGTTTAAGACGATACCCTGTTACGCCTAATACAATTAATAACAAAATACTACCACGAAGAAATACTTTGATTAGACAATCATTACAAAATTCAAAACAAACTATTAATTTACAAGATATCATTGAGAAGATTCCTCAATCAGAGTCATTTATTACTGTGAAACAACCTAAATATCAAAATAGAACAATCAATACAAACAGTAGTAATAGTAGTAATAGTAATGATACTAGTACTAAGAATATTAGTACCATTAATAATAATAATAATAATAATGGTAGACGAATAACAATAAATCATGAAAATCAATCTAGAAAACAAATAATATCTAATCTATACAATTGTACAAAGAATAAACATGATTTGGAAGTATTCAGTGAAGATGAAATATTAAGTGGTAAACGAAAAACTAAAACAAAATTAAATTTAATATCAATTTATAGAGAACCTGTACAAATCAATAAAGTACATTTAATAACTAATTCAGATATTGACAAAGTATTTAACACTACTACTAATAATCATATTAATAGTAATAATAATAATAATAGTTTAAAAAAATCAAATGATAATAATATAAATATAATTCTACCAACTACACCGAAACATATTAAATCAAAGAATCAATCAATACGAATTGGTGAAACATCAGCTGATCATATCCATAGTAATATTGATAATATTCAAAATAAAAGTAAATTAACTGGTAGACCTTATATTAATCCAAATAAATTACATTGGATTGAATCAAACGATTCAATTAAAATTAATTATGAAACTAAAAATTTTACAAATAAATTACAAAATATCCATTATTCATTAGAAGACAGAGGAAGTTAATATATATATATATAGCCACTATTAAAAACAATTTTTATTCTATGTTATTATCAAGATTATTACAATTTCATCTTTTAATTTATTATTAACCAATATTTTTTAGTTGTATGTTTGTTTGTTTGTTTAATCTTTCAATCGATGTACTATGAGCAATTGTTTTCTATTTCTTATTCATTGAGTATCGTTTGTGATGAAACATGTTTGTTTGTTTATTTATTTGTTATTTGTAAATAAGTCTGTTGATTAGTATATATGTATGTGTGTAGTGGTGGTGGTGCTGGTAGTGGTGGGAAGTAGGCTTGAGTTTAGGCATTTATTATTTTATTTTATTTGTTATTTATGTTACTTCAAGAACAACAACATCAACAACAACAACAAACGATTGTATTTAACCAATCATATATTTTTAGCGAATAGTTTGCACTATCTTAAATATGTATTATAATTGTTGAAAACGATATAGATTACAGTGAATAGTTCAATTTAGTTATTTTTTATTCATTTCTTGCTAGATTTAAGCTATATGGAGATATACTGGTGATATTAGTGTTTATAGTTTTGTGTGCGCATGGTTATATTTACGTTGTGAATTGAAGAGATTATATTCATCATTTGTTTATTTCATCTTTTGGACACGTGTATATTAAATATGTCATGTGAATTCTTCTTCTTCTACTACTACTTATTATTATTACTGTCATTGTTATGAAGAAATACTTTTCCAAAAGGACAACTAGTAATTTCATTGTTTATAATCACATGTACTTTCTTGTGGTTCTTTCCTTTGTGTTCCTGATTTTGTGGACTCTTGATTATTTTCTAGAATATTTGTGATTTATTGATAATTTTTTGTGTATTTAATTTAATTTATTTGGTTTTTTTAAATAAGTGAATAAGACATTTAATCTTTATTAGTTGGAACAATAAAGAATGTTTTCGATGTAAGACTTGAACGTGGAAACTAATCTATTGTACTCAATAAAACTTTTTGTTAAAGGTATCAATTCAGTTAATTATTCGTAAAGATTTACACTTTACCAGTCGCCAAGATTCAAGTGTGCATTTGATCAGCTTATGAAAAATATTGTTAAACGTCATAGGTATTGGACAAGTGTGTTGTTATATATATATATATATATATATATATATATATATATATATATATATATATATATCCGTTTTCTAATCGTTGTTAATGCTAACGGCTGACGTTTGGTAGTATTCTTATGGCGTATATGCACTATGAGAGGATTGCCTTCATATTGCTAATAGAGGTCATAAATATTCTAAATGAAGATGGATAGTGAATAATATTAAAAAACAAGACGGTCGTCTCGTCCTATCTGAGACTTGTTAGTTGGATATACCTGTATCATAGCGATGATTGTTTATCCAGGATGAAATGTACCTCATGGATTCCATTACTAGCCACCGTTTTTATCTTATTCTTAAAGTTTTATTTCTATTTCGAAGACATTTAGAATTAATTAGCTGTAAGTTAAAAGTAGTGTAATTACTTGACATTTTAATAAAACGTAAGAAACTGATCTTCGTTCTTAATGACATTAAAAACATATTATTATTACTATTGTCATTGTAAACAATCTACTGGATTATTAACTTGTTTGAAATGATTAAGTCAAACCTTAGGAATGATATTTATTTGAAGTTTGAAAGTATTCAAGTCAGTTAGGTTAATAATATTCAGTGAATATACCAAAACTCACTACTTTAGTTTATATGATAGAAAAAGGAAGTGCTTAATCTGTATAGATGAAACTTGGTATATACCTACGATTTTGCTTCTTTCAATGAAACCTGTTTCAAGGATTATTCTTCGTAGTCTGAATTTCAGTACAGCACACAATTTAGTCAGAATAATAGCACTTGAAGCAATTTTATTGATTATGTAATTTATCGTACAATTCATCTTAATATCATTTGTTATTTTTTAAAAAAACATGTGAATTTAACAAGAAACGGAAAACTTTAAGACTTTAGTATTATTTCGTCATAACTAGTTGGTTGGCAACTGTAGACTAAAATTACTATTTAACCAAAATACAACAAGACATAAAAAGTTATGGTCATCATCAACTAGTTTCACAGCCAGAGTACTTACTACTAGGCTTCACATGAAACACGTAGCTTACCATATAACTAAGCATAAGATGCATACTACGGTATGGAATAATGAGAATCAGAACAGAACAAGGCATATCATCACAAGAACAATTTGTCTTTGTTTATTTACCAATATTTATTGGTATTTTTGTGGAGGCCCGTGAATTTTGTCGTTGTTTAGATCGGACGATGTTGTCGAAAGGGCTTTCCACTTTAGTGGCCCGTGATCTGACTCCAAGGAGATCGTATGAATGTTATGTTATCGCCTATCTTCGTATATAATCATAGACTTAAATCGCGTTAGTCAATAACGAAACTAAATAAGTCAAATAACGAGAATGGACTAGAGAGAAGAGTAATGAAGCACAGTGCAGATGGCAGGTAAGCCATCTCCCATTTAACCATGCATTAATCAATATTTATAGTTAAAGAAAAGTAAGTTACAGATATGTGATAAGTAAAGGGATAAGAAATGTAAACACACCTACGCGCTCATATAAAAACAGTCAAGATTGATAACTGAATAAATAACTAGGTCAGAATGTGACTCAAGTAGAATGAATAGAATGGGCTGTCCAAAAGCTAAAATAAGGTATATGGGCTTACTAATAATAACCGACACTACAGTATCACTTTCACTTTTTACTTATTTTTTTTTAATAACACATTTTCCTATCGCAAAGTTAGCTTACAGATCTAATTCAAATACAATGAAGTTAAACGAAATTCGAATTCCTGCTAAACTTTTTATTTCATAGAATTTTATTCATTTTCACCAGTTTTCTTGAATCTTTAATAATGACGCTATGTTGTACTGTTTTTAAAAAAAATATTTTGTTCCACTATTCAACATTTCATTATAATGTAATTCAACTCTATTGATTAGGAATGAATTATTTTTCTGTAGTGTGTTTGTTTGACTGTAATCATCATACAATCTGATAGAGTGATTTAGTTCTGAATGGGAATTTATTACTATTATTATGGATAATTTATGTTTTGGAATAGATATCCATTAAAGATCTGTTTAAAATGTCAAATATACTTCATTCTAATTTTTATCTTTACAAGGTTTCTTACCCATTAAAAAATAAGTAAGAAAAATATGTAATATTATTGAACAAGAAAATAAAATAAATCGTTTAACAATTCATTATAAGCAAAGATATGTGATGGCTAGTAGTGGAATTTAGAACGCGCGTTTCGTCTTATTTAGGACTCATCAGCTGGATATACCTATATCCCAGAGTTGTTGTTTATCTGAACATTTGTAGCAAGAAATTTAAATGGATTTGATTCTATTAAATTATTGGTTTTGTGATTTATGCAAATGATGTTACATTTTATGTCATATGTCAATTGGTTCTAATCACACTCAATAAAGAATTAAAATCATTTCACTGATGTTATTTTTACATATCGTATCAAATTAAAGAAGCATAGTGAATGAATCAGAAAGATTAACTTATTGAACTAAAACGTCTGAAGAAAATTTGTTTTCATTAATTGACACAATTTCGACGATTAGTCAATTCGTTTGTAGGGAATAGTAAATTTCAAAGATTCTCATCACTTTCTATATCAGATCAATTGTAGTTGAAATAGTGAAATATTAGACTCAGAATAAGTTGTCTAAAGGTTACCTATTCACTGTAAAACGTGTTTTAAATTCTATCTAGTGTTGAATAGTGAGTGTGTACTTCTGTAAAAGTTTTAAAACTGGAACAAAAACACTTATCCAACATGTTTTTCTAATTTTTGGTAGTTTTCTAGGTGTTAACAATTCCCAAGAAAAGTATTTACAAGCTCTTTTTTGTTCAGTAACATGATACACTTTTTACTGTCTGTCAAACTAATGATGTTATTGAATAATTTTGCGAAATTAAGAGTAATCACTTTGAATGTTTAATATTGATTTGCCTAATGAATATTTTAGCCTTATTTATATTTATCAAAACAACTATTCAAAATACCATTCATCCATTTATTCATTTCATATTCTGATAATCTGTATGTCGTTCATTTTATTTATTACGTCATGGTTGTTTTCACTGAATAGGTTTTTGGAGATTTGTAATTAGAAGCAAAAAGAAGTGATAGTTTGCATATGAAATGATAACATTTTCGATAGCGATAGAAACTTTCCAGGGAAAACTTTGATTATTTTCGTAGATGATCTTGTGACTGTCTAAATAAGTTTTGTACTAAAACAATATTCTGTTGCTGTGATGTAAAAAGATTTAATCATAGGAGTGTTCCGCTTTAGCAAACAGTGTCGTAAGAGACAATATATATATATATATATATATATATATATATATATATATATATATATATATAATTAAACCTTAGCCATCCTGTTTGTAGATATAATGAAAGCACATATTTAGGGATCAAGGAAGTAGCTTCTATGGGAAAAGATATACGATTACATAAAAGTTTGAATCATGGTTACTGACAATAATTTAGTATAGTGAAATCTGTGATGTTAAATAGAAAGTGTGAACATTTCCAAAACTAGACAAATCCTCGTTCGTGGCACAATGATGTATTATAATGGTTTTGCAGAAAAAGATTTATACAAAATAAATGGTGTTAACCTTTCAGCTGTTTGGAGTATTCTTTCAGGTTAATAGTTGGAATGAACAAGTCACTCTCCTTCAATGGTTCTCTGAGAAAAAACAAAACAACAGTCCGTAGGAACAAAAAAAAAATAAAATACCAATAGTTGTACATTGATTATACTCACCATATGAAGATTTTGCAATTTAATAGATAATATGAGTGATTAGATGTGTTATCAAAAGGGATGTTTCTGCGACACTACTACTAGAAAGCAACTTTCATCAGTCAGAAGTTTTCTTGAATAAGCCCTA